CTGAAATAACTTGGGTAATACTTACCATTTAAAAATGCATTTATTAAATAACACCCACAATCAATATGTTCTCAGATTTATCTGATTATTTCTGACGTGTGCACCTTTCCTTTGACTTCTAAAATTTCTCAGTATCTACCCCCCTTTTTGTAGGTTGAACTATTTCTCTGACTTCTTTAGAAATATCCAAATTCCGATTTTTTTATAGTGGTCACATTCCACATTCTTAAACATCACCTGTAGATATTTGTCTAGTGCCCCTTGACAGCTTTGAATCACATTTTCCCTCATAATTATATTCATTTATTCTGCTTTCTAATTTATTGCTATTCTAATTTACTTTATAAATAAATGTTAAATAGTTCGGCTATCCTAGCCATTAAAATTAAGAATATATTTTATCAAAAAGATCCTCTCTTCTTCCCTCCCCTCACCTCTCCTCTTCTCCTAGGGTATCTCTTTGGATCCACTTTTGAATAGAAAATTGAGAAAGCCATGAAATGTACCTCATAAAGTTGATGGACGGAGTAAAGAAATACTATTAATCTGCCCACTGACCTGCACTGACTCCTGACCCCTCCCTCCCTTCACTGTTACATTCCAAGGGTGTAGGCCTCCCATGATGGTTCCAGAGTGTCTACACAACCCTTCAGTCCCACTGTGGGGACTGGCTTTCTAAGCTGGGAGGTGATGTCAACAGTTTCCCCCCTGACGACGGGCTCAGGCTAGCCAGGTTTGTACTTGCCAATTCACACAGCAGCCTCATAGGACAGGAGAGTGAGAAATTGCCTTTTTCTGTGTCGTGGGGTTCCCTCCTTGTTCTTTGGGCTTTTCTCTTGGTGCCCAGTGTTGACCAACAGGAGTTGGTCAAGCTAAATGCACAGTCAGGCAGGGCTTGCTATCATACCAGGCAAAAGTCCTGGTATGAGGAATGTACTGGAAACCAGTATCTCCTGCAAACAGCAGGCAGATAGCACGTCCAGATTAGCAAGATCAACTAGAATGGCTTACATGTAACGATTAGCAGTAAGTTAGGTAAGGTAGGGAATAGCGATAGTATACTTTGATTAGCAGGAAGTCTAGAGTCCCCCAAGCAGTAATCCCTGGTCATCCTACTCTAGAATGCACCAAATGACGACGAACCCAGGTATTGTGTCCCCAATAACATGTGCACGGTTCTAGACAGAGAATGCCCTTGCATGGGTATCACCTCCTCGGTGGATTCCCCCAGGCTCCTCACTGCTCCGCATTGACCTGAGTGATTTCCCCCTCTCCCTGCATCACTTCCAACACTGCAGCTCTGCGAGGCGGCACTGTGTTAGCAACTGCTTATGTCAGCTTTTCCATGAGTCCAGATTTATCCAGACTTCCTTCAGAGCTGCTTTGTGTTCATTGAGAAGCCCCACAAGCACAGTGCTATTTAGAGAGCTGGCAGGGCTAAGGACCTGCTATGTTCTGTCTAAATATTTAAAAAGGAATCCTTTAGTCTGAAGATAAAAATGAAACTTGACAATGAACTCCCACCTCCAGTGGTTACCCACTGTGACCCACTGCAAGTTGGGATCAGCTGTAAAGCAGAGAATTTCATATGAACTTAAATCATTTTCTCATACAGCAAATATTTGGGTTGCTAAAAAAGGGACTAAGATGTTTTCTCATTAAATTATACATTTTTCCTGAGTTAGAGACTGTAGGGATGAAAAGAATTAAACATTCTCATCAGAGATCAAGAGAAGTGATATGGTAGGATACCAGTGTTAGCTATGGGAAAAGTCACTGTGCAACTTGTAAGTGAATCAAATCAGCTATTGCAACCCCTTGAACTCACACAGTGGTTGGTCAATTACCTAAATGGGGTGGGGGGGCAAACATCTCCATCCCCTTTGCTCAGGCACTATTAACATATTTTATAATATACCTGTCACCCGCTATGTGAGTGATAACACCACTTCCAAATCTTGATTTTTATGGATGCTGTTAGGAAAGAGTCCAAACCAATTCTTCACAGGTAAAAAGCTAAATAAACACAAAATAAAAATCTTGCTCACATAAGCACCCTCAACAACTTCCTTTACAAAGTAGGTTTATATTCTAATTTGTTTTTTTTATAGTCTAACATTATAAACTTTTAAGTGGTGGCCAGTATTTCTGATCAATGCCCAAAGAAAAGGTACTTTATCATTCTGGAAGGAAATCAGAGCAGAATCTCTTGGAAGCCAGTTATTGTAAATATTAAAGTGGACCCCAGTACAGAATTATAATCTTGCACAGGAAAGCCACATATTTTTTTTTTTGACAGGATGTGAGTCCTCTAAATGAGGTCCCAGAAAGTGATAAGGCTTCTTGTGGCTTAGAAATTCCCATTTGCCTCTATGGTAGTGATGTTCTGGGAATGTTGCTGATGGTCAAGTCAAGTCTTGACTTAATTTGCTAAATGTTACTTTACCCAGAGGGATTTCTAATCTTTGAGGTGCAGGCTTTCCATGATGCACTACTCATGTACAGATTAGCACCAAAGGGTTTCTTCAACCCCCTGCCTCCTGCCTGAAGGTTCAAGGGGAAATATTTGAGACTATACTGGGCACCATCAAAGATCACTTACTGGGTATCTGTTGCTCACAAACAAAATGATGCTTCCTTTCTGTGAAACAGAGGTATTAACACTGTCATGAAATTCAGCAGATTAAGGGCATGTCAGTTATTTGAAATAGGACTGTTCTTTATTCTTCATTCTTCCATTTGGCCTTGTTATTTAGTAAAAGTAAAGAGAAATCTCTTAGGAAATAATCCAAGTTTTAGAAGTAACAGATAGCATTAAGAAGCATAGTATTTCTTCTGTTTTGTCAAAATGTTCCATACTGCAATAATTCACGGTCTATTTAGGAATCATTAAGCCTTTCAGTTATTGAAACAAATTACAAGTGCGGGCTCTTCACAAGCATCAGGGCTTAAATTGGGGAATTCTGCAAATGTTTTTACCTGTTTCATTTATTAGCATTTCAAACACATTAATTTCACAGCTATCTATGAATTATATAAAATGTTACTTCTTTTTAGACAGACATTGTAGAATGATTTTTTCCCTCTGCAGAAAGGAAGGATGATTAATGCTGTTACAAAGAAAGTTTATGAGAAACATAAAAACATTTCTCTGTGGGTGGGAAGTGTTTCTCCAACATTGAGTCAAATGTAGACACAATAAAACATTCATACCACATTATGCTTCTTGGATCTGAGCTTGTGATGGAACTTCAGAATAAAATAAAGCATGTTCCTCACAACTCTGCTGCCCCTTACTCTGCAGTAAAGTGGCATTAGGGGTGGAAGCAGCCTTATCCATGCTTTCTGAGTATTTGATGAAGAAATCAAACATGTAAAAGTTGTTCCCAGTAGCAGAAGATGGGATGTATGAATGGTCATTCTGTTGCTTCTTTATTGTAAAAGACACAGGAATGAGTGCACTAGAAAGGCTCTCAATAGTGAAAGCTTAACTGTAGACAGGAATATGGAAGTATAAAAGGTGCTGGACGGTTCTTTTTTTTTTAAGATTTATTTATTTGTGCATACGGAACTGGGGTACAGGCCAGAGGCTCAGGGGCGGCAAGAGGCTTCACCAGAGACAGAGTGGGGAGCAGAACAGGCAGATCGATGAAGTACACTGCTGAGGGGAGCAGCAGGCAGGTCAGGAGAGATCTGCCGCGCCATATGGTCACCTCCGGGGCAGGCAGGAATCGAACTCATGTGGAAGTGGCTTTACCTTCTTAGTGCTGTGCTTTAACCCACCGCGGAAGGGCCGGTGCTGGAAGATTCTTACAATTAATATAACTCAACCCTCCCATCTTCCGAATAAGAAAACAGAGTCCAAGCAAGGTGAGAGACTGGACTCTGTTTACCAGCAGGGTGAATGTGGAAGGAACTTTTGCATGGGGTTTACTTCTTCCCTTTTCAAGATAGTTCCTGCAACTAATGGCCAGATTTCAGATGCAGGAGCTACTGTCAATCACTTGCAGGAACATTTTCCTGTTGGCACAGTACTGGAGGCAGGCCCTAGCATAGTACAGCAAAGAGATGAAGGATTATGGATTGATCAAAGGCAGGAGCTGGTCAGTTGAATGACCTAAATCAGAGAGGTGTTTTAACAGGAATGGAAAGGAACAGATGGCATTTGTTGAAAGTATTGCACTCATTCTTAAAAGTTATAAGATTGTAATATCTAAAATATAGCAGAAACTATGAAAGATTAAAATCTCTAACAATCAACTTCTATGTGTATTCCTGACTATGAACCTCATGATAACCCTTTAAAGTGAATAGAAGAATCTCTGTGCTCCAGGCAAAAGACATTTCTTTAGGGTTCACGGTGACATCTGTCCCATGCTTATGTCCAAGATCACAGCAAAGTCTAACTCTGGTTGTAAACACAGGGATAACTTCCACATACAGGGGTAATTTGAGCCCCATCAGCCTTTTGTTGGAATCAGCATTTGGCTGGGGTGGCTCTCAGTGTGCTAGTTTTATTTATTAGTTTTATTTATTAAACTATAATTGATGGATGGTGTGTTCTGTATGCATGCACTGCATAGTTCTTTGTTGCTGCTACTTTTTGATTTGGGTTGTGTTGTTTGAGAAGACTCTTGAGTGACAATTATTGTTATGTAAGCTAATACTTCTGCATCACCTGTTCTCTGCCAGACATTAATAGTTTTTATGTGATATCTATGCTCTGAATTATATTCTACCATCTCATAACCCTTCGCCATAATTTATGTGTTTGATACAACTTAAGATTTACAAAGCGATTTCACATATGCTATCACACCGGTAACTCTATCGGTTTTCATTTACCATGTTAAAGCAGATGCTATATTAAGCATTAACTGAAAGGGGAGTGGGCAAGTGAGGATGTAAGCATGGAAGAAAACCAAACTTCTGCCAAAGAAAATGAATCAGGCAGAAAATTCACCAATAGACCTGCTTTTCTCTCCTTTGCTCTGTTTCAGGAGTACCAAATTGATATATTTTTTGCTCAGACGTGGACTGACAGCCGCCTTCGATTCAACAGCACAATGAAAATACTTACTTTAAACAGCAACATGGTGGGGTTGATATGGATTCCGGATACCATCTTCCGCAATTCTAAGACGGCAGAGGCCCACTGGATCACCACTCCCAATCAGCTCCTCAGAATATGGAATGATGGGAAAATCCTGTACACTTTACGGTAAGATGCCAGTGGCGCTTTCAGTCCTGACCATCTGATTTTGGGTTTAAAATTTAGATCATCATAGAGATTGGACCCTATTTTCACGGATAAGTTCTATTATTTCTTATGTTCGATATGTTGTAGCATTCTGAAACAGTTAATGTTAATTCCACGTCTATACAGGTAGTGGTATACACATGATCTACGTGAATATAAACTCATTCTTTTATCAGAATTCTTTTCCGCTGAAAGCTGACTGTGAATTTATCTTTCATGTGATTGACCTACAAGTCCCATCAGCTATGAGACCATGTTAAAAGCGCCGTGAGGTGTCCCAGTGCATCCTCACTGGATATGGCAGCTACCTTAGCATGAGCCCTCCGGGGACTGGAAAGTCCTCCGTGAGCCTCAGCAAGAGCATTGCACTTTAGAAAACTGACTCATCCAAAGTCACCACTGGGAACTAGTGTTACTAGGGTTTGAACCCGCGTCTCTCTCAAAATTCTCTCCACTCAAGTGGTCTGAGTCTAGTGGAACACAGAGCTGCATTGCAACCCCCCCTCACCTAAGCCAGCTGTTCTGCTTTTTCAGCTTAGGCTCGGGTCAGCACGGGACCCCTCCTCTCAGGAGGGAGCTCAGGGCACCCCCACCATGTGCTAAGAGCTGCTGTCATAGCCTTTGCAGCTTTGTGGCTCCTGACCCTGCCCTGATGCTGATTCTCTGCCTCCTGCTCCTTCTGCCTCGGCACTGCTCCCTCACTTCACACTCTCCATCTTCCCACTGTCAGTCAGAGCTTGTCTGTTCCCACAGATTTAAAAGACATACTCATGCTGAGAATTCCCATCTGCCAATTTGTGCCCAGGACATCCAGCTTCCTGGACCTACCTGTCTGTGTGCTCTCTTCCTGAAGGTCTTAGAGCACTGCAGGCCCAGCACGCCTGGATCTGGGAAAGTGACTTCTCTAAATCCTCTCTGCCATGCCCCTGCATCCTCCACTTAGTGGAAGCCCCCACTGGCCCTGGGTCTACCCCCCTCCTTCGCTCTTAAGTCCAGAACCACGAGTTCCTAACTGCAGGTGATTTCAGACAGTGAGGGGAAATCTGTGACTTGTATTGGTAAACAAGTAGCTATAGCAGATAAAGGCACAGATTAAAATAAAAATAAGCTGAAGATTATTTTCAAGTTTCAGGGAAATGATCACTGAAGGAGCAACAACAGAAAACACTACAGCAGATAACCCTGCAGGTGACTTACATTTAGAGAGCCAGTTTCTTGACGTGTTGCCTCAACAGCCTTAAAGGGCTATGAAGATAAAGTGAGGTAAAAGTGAGCCTAGCAAGCCGGACTCTACACGGTCTGTGCCGGGACCCTTTCAGGAACCTCCAAGGGCTGTCTTCTCTGGAAGAAGGCAGCACACACCTTGCCTATCTCCAACACCTGCTTAGTAAACCAGAGTTATCCAAATAGGGAATTTCCTACATGCGTATTAATTTGGAATTATACCTGTTTAAACGAACACGCCAGTTTCAAAATGAAGGCAAGGTTTACTTTCAACAGATCGAAAACAAGGATGGATAGAACTGCAATTGTTTTTATTTGTCTCTTCTCTAACTTGGCTTGAGATTTCATGAGCTGAAATTGTCTCTGCTACCAATAGTTCCAGCAGAACAAAATAGCAACACTGAAGCAACGGAATAGTAGCATGAGTGGACAGTACTGCTACCAGGAGTGAGAGCAGGTGCTGTCCCCTCCTGCCGGCCCACGGGGGTAAGGGACAGTCCTTTCGCTCTGCGTGGGAACATTACACGGCTGTTACTGAGTGAGCCCAGGGTGACATGTGGATCTCCCGCAGGCTCACCATCAATGCAGAGTGCCAGCTACAGCTGCACAACTTCCCCATGGACGAGCACTCCTGCCCGCTGATCTTCTCCAGCTGTGAGTATCCCTGGGGCACCCTGGAGCCAAGGGCATTTGGTCTCTGCTAATTTCTCGCCAGTGGTCACAGAGCCTCTACCACACAACCAGGGAAGTACATAGTTTCTTGAGATTGGGCACTGGGTATTTTCACTCTAGGCTTGATCGCATAGGACTCAAATTACAAAATAGATAGTTCTGATTAGGTTGTGAGCAACTTGGAAATTTTCTAATATGGAAGGATTCAGGAATTGGTGAATATTTGACTTGTCAGTAATGCTTAGGCTCGTGAGCTGTGCATATTTTTGGGGGTGTCCAAAATTCCTTATTTTAGGTTTAATGTCATCTTCAAGCAAAGTAACTTGTCTTCTAAATAGAAAATTTTTATTTAAAATGTTTTTTTTTTCTTGTGTCTTTTAGCTTAAGTAAGATAATTTTTATAGTAGTCTATCTTCTGGGATTTTGCTTTTGACTGATATTGTATTTTAGAAATCACTGTTTAAATTAAAAATTAAAGACAACTCATGCTACATTTAAGGATATACATATGTATGTGTATATACATATCAAATTTATTTGCACATTTATAGAACACAGTTTTTTAGTGAGCTAAATATGGAAATTTAAGTGTAGAATTTATGATAAGCCATTTCAAGCATATTGATCACGGGTACTTAAGTATGACTCATAAAAATTCTATTAACTTTATTGGCTTTCGGTATAATTGCCTATGGGTCATGACAACCAAATGATGGAATCTCAGGCAAAAGGTTTTGCGACTTTCCTTACCAGGCATTGTAGTGAGAAGACAAATATGAAGTAATGGACAGGCACACTTTATAATTCAGAGGAAAAAAAGCTGGAAAGCAAAAATTTGCTGATTTTCAAGATGAAGGATATATGTTCTTAGGTGGAGACTAATTAGTTGACTCCAAATTAATACATCGCTAAACACTTTAAATTTTCAACATCTGTATGGCCGATGTCTAGGAATGTCTACTAAACTTGCCTGTAGATTCCTTTGAGCCTGATGTTCTCTAATTATTTTAAAAGTCATGTAACATTCAAGTTGTCTAGTTTTTGTGAATCAGCTTAAGCAATGATGTGTCTGCTTTTCCCTCGTGACTTGTCCACTCTCCTCCCCATTTGCCTTCTCTGTGACCCCCCTAGGCTATGTTTTCTCAAACAGGGGTCCGAAATTCTGTTAGCTTTTCTATGGAGTTTATTATTTCAGTGGTTATTCTCACTATTAGACATTATAGTTCATTTCTTTTGATATGCACAATTTTGATAGTCTCTAACTTCTTCACCACATTTCAAAGCAATTTATTTATTTATATTTCCTGAGCACTCCAGTATGTGGGAGCAATTTGCAGAATTTGCTGATTAATTTTACTCTCTCTCCTGGTAACATTTCATTTTTCTGTTTAGTAACTTGGTATTTGATTTCATGTTTCCTGGAAAATTTTCTGTGGGATTTCAGTGAGGCTTCATTGGAGCAGGGTTTGGTCTGCCTCTACCTGGTGTTGCTGTTGCTTTAAATCAAAGTCAAGACCTGGGTTCCTGGACCACACAGATGATGTGAATTCTAATCATGTCCTTGATCTCAGACTGTGGTTTTAAATTCTTAAGAAATTTGAGAATTTTTTTTTTTTTGGACAGGGGGAGAAGAGGTCTTCTCTGTTTTTCCTGTAGTCTAAACTACACAGAAAATCCCCTTATTAGAGAGTTTCTCCTGAGTTCACCAACTGAACTTTAACCCCTTCTCTATGGCAGCAACTCAAGTGTCCATCAACAAGCAGATATATAAGCAAAGTGTGGTATATAGATACAATTGGGATATTATTTAGATTAAAAAAGGAAGGACATTCTGATGTGCTACAACATAGATGAAAGTTGAGGGCATAACACTAAATGAAATACGTCTCTCATACACACACACACACACACACACTATGTCTTTTACTTTCTTGAAGTATTTACATTTGGAAAAGAAAATAGAAGCAGAAAGATATTTGAAGTTGGCAAAGTCTGGGGGGAACGAGAATGGGGAGTGACAGCTTAATGGGTATAGAAGTTTACTTTTGCAAGATGAAAAGTATCCTGGAGATGGATGGCAGTGATAGCTGTTCAACAGTCTGAATTTAATTAGTATCACCAAGTTTTACATTAAAAATTATTAAGATAGTATATTTTATGTTTTGTGTATATTGCTATAATCAAAATTAGAAAAAGTATGGTAACTAAAATTAAACATTCACAAGAGAAATTCAATAGCAGATTTGAGCATGAAGAAGAAAGAATCAACAGACTTACTATAGACCAGAGCTCATTACAGAACCCCAAGAACAACAGATAAAGGGATGAAGAAAAATGAGGACAGCACTACAAACTGGTGGGACAGCCTGAAACTCGCCAGCATGTCCATAAGGGAAATATCAGAAAGAAAGCTGAAAGACAGAGAGGGAAGAAAAATATATAGTGACCAGAAGGTACCAAATTACACAGTGCGTATCCACACATCCTGGAAACTGAATGAGCCTCAAGTAGGATAAACTCAGAGAAGTTTTCAACTCTTGAGCATCTCAGCAAGGCCTATACTTGGATATAGTCAAGCTGTCTAAAGACAAAGCAGCCAGGGAGAAACAAATCATTATATTTAAGTGGTCCTTAAGATTAACACTTGATTTCCCATGAAAAGCCATGGAGGCCAGAAAGTGGTGGAATGGCATATTTAAAGACTGAAAGAAAACAAGTGTTATAAAATAATTCCATGTGCAGCTCATCTACTCTTCAAATATGGGAGAGGAAAACATTTCCAGATAAACTAAAACAGAAACTCATTACTGCCAGAGAACCTCTTCTATGAGAAATACTATAGGAAATCCTTCAGGCTGAAATGAAAGGACTTGAGGGACTAAGACTGACATTATAAAAGAACAAAGTTTATTTAAATATGTTCCACTGAAATTGATGGTATTAACTCATACTGGATTGTTATGTTATTGTAATACTCAAGAGAGCCACTAAGAACATCATTAAAAATATATAGTAAAAGAAACAAGAGATGCTTAAAATTGTACACTAGAAAATACCTGCTTAACATCAGTAGTGGATGGCTAAGAGAGCAAAAAATATGGCATAAGATATTTAGGAAACAAATGGTAAATGTACATAACCCCTGTCTCCTCAGCAATTACAATGAATTTAATCATATGCCAGTCAAAAGTCAATGATTGACAGACTATAAAAGATCAGGATCATCGGTGCTGTATATAAGGCTGAATTTTAATTAGTAGATACAAAAATACTTAAATTAAAAGGATAAAATGAACTATATCATGTGACTAATAAACAGAAAATAATTGAAATGGCTATATCAGACAAACATACTTCAAAATTGTTACTAGAGACAAAAAGGACATTTATAATGATAAAATGAGTGAATATATGAAGAAATGCAATTATAAATATGCATGTACCTAATACAAGAGAGTTAAAATACTTAAAGCAAACTTAACTGACATGAAGGGGAAAACTAGGTAACTCAGCCAAACTAGCTGGGTATTTTCATATCCTACTTTCAAAAATGTATTAAGGGCCCTCCTTGGTGGCTCAGTGGGTTTAAAGCACAGCACTAAGAAGCTAAAACCACTTCAGCATGAGTTTGATTCCCACCCTGGAGGTGACCACATGGTGTGGCAGACTTCTCCTGACCCGCCCACTGCTACCCTCAGCAGTGTACTTTGTCGATCTGCCTGTTCTGCTCCCCACTCTGTCTCTGGTGAATCCTCTCACCACTCCTGCACTTCTAGCCTGTACCACAGTTCTGTATGCATAAATAAATAAATCTTTTAAAAATGCATTAAAAAACTAAGCATGTCAACAAGGAAATGGAAACCTTGAAATATTCTTTAAAAAATTAAATCTAACTCGACACCTGAAGAACACTTCATGAGCAATGCAGAATACACATCCTTCTCACATGTACATAAGATACTCTGAAATACAAGTCACCGTTAGGCCTTGAAATAGATAAATAAATCTAATGGAGTTAAAATAAGATTGCTGCTGGATATAAAGTCAGTATACAAATATAATTTGTATTTCTACACAAAAGAGATGAAAAAATCTACAGTGCTATTTACAATCAAAAAGAATCATAGTTAGAATGAAGTTAACAAAAGAAGATTGTGTACTGAAAACTCCAAAAAATGTTGAAAGAAATTCTAAATAGAAAGGGTATCTGTGTTCATAAACTAAAGAAAACACAAATCATATTTCTGATAAATATCTAATATTCAGAATATACAAACATTTTTTATCAATCAACAGTCAAAAGACAAAACCCAACATAAAAAATAAATGAGACAGTTCTACAGCAAGATATTCAAATGTTCAAGAAGCACATGAAAAATGCTCAACATAACTTCAGGATAAGTAAAGGCAAATCAAAAAATCACAGCTAGAGGCCATCTCACACACACTAGGTTGGCATAATAACACTAGGTCCGGTAGGGTAACAACAGCTTTTCATCCAGCATCCAGCCTCTTGAGAAATGGCATCTGGGACCTAACGTGAATTGTGTCCACTTTATTCAGTTTCATGAGACGTTTCGGTAGAGAACTGAGGATACACTAACCTGTTGTTGTGCCAGGAATTTGCTTATCTACCCAAGAATAGTTACTTCACCTGTAACACAATGGCCACCACGCAGACCCTTCTAATTTCTGTGAGTTCCTAACTGTGAGTTCCTCTGCTTCCTTTTGATGTTGAGATCTGATACCTCATTCCACATCTCTTTTAATATCTCAAACCTTTGTCATATCATATTACAAGGATATTGCTTTCCTGACTTATGACTTACTTATAAATTGCTTTTATAAAGACAAATCAAGAGATACTTAGGGTCCCAGTCCTGATCATCCTTTAATAATGTTTACCCCAGTCTGCTGTGGATAACAGAAAGTTCTGTCTCTATGTTTTGTTTTTTTTTCTTATCTAGTGCTCATAGTAACTC